TATAAAATATTGTTTTATAATCTCTCTTTGATTATTGTTTGTTGAATTTTCTACCTCACATAAGATCAAACTATTAAGAAAAAACTATTAAGAATGTTTTATAAACCGTAAATTCTAAAAATCATCAGCAGGTTTTACTCCCCAAATGTTTTTATATATTATTTCCACAAACATTATATACTAAGTACATTCAAATAATAAAATAACAAGTGAACTAAAAATATTTATGGAAGAAGAAACTTTCACCTCAATTCTTCCTGATTATTATGAGGTGGTGTTGGAAGTGAAGCTGGAACATCAACTGTCTTTGGGCCTTGAGCAATAGCTCTGGCTAACAAGTCGTCCTGTGGTCTGAACGGCAGCTGAAATGGTTTAGGTCCTAAAGTTTTGGTAACTGGAAAAGCAAAAACACAAAACCATACGCGCATTCAGTCAATGTTGATATATGGGTAGCATTTCCAGTTCACCACACAAAGCCAGCAAAGGTACACTCCTTAAAGCAGTAAATTTTGGAGGCTGTAGTCATACCTTCATGGCTCACTAGCACTCCAGCTTTTCCAGCAAGCTCTTCAGTCGTTGCAAAACCATTTGCCATCTTCTGACAAGCCATGGGAGGTGGTGTAGGAGGAAGAGAGGCAGGGGGTGTTGGAGGATTACTTAAATTATTCTGCTGCAGGAGACCAAAAAATTTCAATTATATGCTACTGAACAAATATGCAAAGACTATGCTAAAACTTAGTTGTGTGATTTTTTTAGCACATGGAAGCAAAGCTACAAAAATGTAATCAAGATGTATCTTCATTCCTACATGCATCCCAAGAAGAAAAATATACACACAATGCCAGGAAGTTTTTTACTGGAACAAATATTCATGACCTTATGGATATTATACATGTATTTGCTACTTACTTTCCCAGCTTGAGTATTTAATTTTGAAACTGAGAAGCAAATTTTCATTATGTCTCCATAACCTTTTTTTTTTTTTTTTTTACCATAACTCTTTTTATATGTTCCACTGCTATAGCCAGTAAAAGGTTAAAATAAAATTCAACCAATCAATTTAATACAAATTCCTCTCATTAAATTCTCATTAAGATGTCTGGTTTTATTTTTGAATAAAACTTGAGAATTTGTGGTCAAAACCTATAAACTGCAAGTCACATCACAGATATTGAAATCTAGATTAGCCAAGATCTCAAGGAACAACAACAAAAAAGCAAAGTAGTGAACATAATAATATGAAGGAGCTATAAAATGTTTGTGGAAAAAAATGGAATTAAAAATGATGGAATTTTCCACTAACATTTTGAAGCACTCTAGTAAAATGACATAGTCATCAAAAAATGTAGTCCCCTTCTTCAAACATCTCTCCTTAATATTTATCACCAATCTGTCTCTCAGGGATTACTAAAATCTATCAGGAATATCATGCAAATAAAGTACAGGGTGAAATGACAAATCTTGCAAAGATAAAATTCCATGAAGACAATGAAGTGATGCTTGAGAACAGCTTGTATCACAAAGAAAAGGCACTGCAAGAATTATGGGAGGTTCTAACTGAAGAGAAAAGCCAACAAGAACAACAAATGGAGCATCAAAAGAGAGACTGATATTAAAGAAGAGAAGCCCTCCTCACAGAAAGTGATGATACTCAAAAGTATTTTTGCAAATATAATCTTTTATGTAAGCCAGAAGTTAAGTACAGAATTGTCACATGATGCTACAACTTTAGTAGAAAACCAGTAACAAAAGATAAACTTGATTTGTTGTTGTTGTTGAGTGCCGTCGAGATGGTTTCAACTCAGCGACCCCATATAGGGTTTCCTAGGAGTGGCTGGTGGGTTTGAACCATCAACCTTGCGGTGAGCAGTCCAGTGTTTATCCTACAGTGCCACACCAGGACTCCTTTAGTCTGATTAAATTTTTATAGCTAAGAATTATCGAAGCCAAACCAAACCCATTGCCATCACGTTGATTCTGACTCATAGCGACCCTATGTAGGTTCCTGAGGCTGTAAATCTTTACAAGAACAGAAAGCCTCCTCGTTCTCCCATGGAGTGGCTAGTGGATTTGAACTGCTTACACTGTCGTCAGCAGTCCGACATGCAACCCACTACTCCTTAGCTAAGAATGAGTACATCATTAAAATTAGGACTAAGTGGACAAAATACATTTCTTCAATTTTAAATTTCATTTTTCAGGTTAAGTTTCTGATCAAATTTCTGTTTGTTATAAATTTGGAAGTATTTTAACAGTTTACAAAGTATTAAGGAAATAAGTATTTCTTCTACATTGGAAATATATAATGGATGTTTTTCATAACGTATATTTTCACTTATACAAAAATTTTAAATGCTCATGTAGAAGTTCATCAAAAAGTTAAAATTTTATCAAGTGAAGTGTTCCTAACCAAACTTAGATTAGATGTAAACTAGATGCAAAAAGAAGGTAAAAACCCAACCCACTTTTGCTGGAGTCTATTTGGACTCCTAGCAACCCTAAGGACAGAGTAAAACTGCTCCATAGGGCTTCAAGGCTATAAGTCTTTACATAAGCAGACTGCCTCAGCATCTACCTGTGTTGCAGGGTGTGGGTTCAAACTGTTGACCTTCTGGGGTTAGCAGCCCAATGCTTAACCCACTGCACCACCAAGGCGCCTTAAAATCAAGAAGATAAGCTCTACCAATTCTGATATGGTATCCAAAGATGAAGTAATGTAACATCTTGGCAAAGAAACATACCTTGTATATCAACTGAGAATAGTAATCCGAAACCCCTTCAAGGGTAGCACTGCCAAAAGTTCCTAGAAGTCGATTCCCACTATTAAATTGGCCACTGCCATAAGGAAGAAAGTGTGCAAAGTTCACTCCAATGATTGGTTCCATTAGAGGGAGCAGAGAGAGCTGCTATTAAAAAACACATTTAAGAGTAATGTACATGATAAACAAACAAAGCTGTTTTTCTCAACTTTTCTAAGACCCAAGGCAACTTAAAGTCTGAGAAAAATGAGACTTTTAAAAATGCCAATTATGAACATGCTAGAATGAGTGACAGAGACTTCAGAAATTTTAAGGCAGACTTAAAAGGTATGTTCTTGGCTGTTCTGAAGGGATGTGGGCAGACATCTAACAAGAAAAGCACTTTATCTTTGCTCTTCAAGAATTGGGACAAAAGCTGAGGTTAGGTACCACCATAACTATTAATGGTATTCTCCCACCTTCTTGTAACAACTACAAAGGTGTAGGAATAGATTATTTTACAATCGGGGAGAGTCAAGCGGCTGCACTTCGATTCCAGATTCACATGCAATGGGGGCAGATTGTTTCTTGATGTGGATGTTACTTAGGCTGCTTGTTTTGAATTTAAGTAAATCTTGACCATTCCATCTGTTACTGTGATTTTTAGGTGCCCATAAGACAAGAATTAATTTTGCTTGGAAACAGGCAATCTATTAGTTCTTTTTTGAGATTTTTTTTTTTTTTAATCTTTGTGACTTTCTACCTTAATTAGGAAATTATGACAATAAAAAGCTAAGTTTAATAGAGTAGAAAAGTCATTCGACCTTTCACTTCTTTGAATTTTTAAAGAAGCTGCTACAAAAGACTCACCTGTTTCAAGTGGGCGAATGCATCAGTGTTTGAGTACAGAGTTTGTTTCTCCTCTTCATCCTTTCTCCTTTTCTTTGATCTAGGTGCTGCTTTCTCTCCAGTCCTCTGAGTCCGTTTGCTTCGTTGTTTCTTGGTTTCATTTCCTCCGTCTGTTTTTGGCAACTGGTTGTTGCCACATCCAAAACCACCTTGCATTTGAGCCCCCAAAGTTTGCTAATGTAATTGGAAAGGTTAAGAAATAAATGAACTATTCACATGTTTGATTTTTAGTTTATGCTGTTCCAGTGCAATCCTAGAACTCATCATATCCCTTGCATGGGTACTAATAGTGAATGAAAGAAGATAAACAGTGGCATCAGATGATCAATTTTTTTTTCCCCCTCGAGAAGATCATCCCTGTTTTATAAACATTATCCTTAAGTACTGAAATCAGTAGGCTGCAAGCTTGAGAAAAGGGAACTCCCAAAGAAGGCTACTTTTCCTCAGATGCAGTATTACTCCGCAAGTCTAAACCTATTGATGCCAGTGCTGAGGACCCACTCTCGTTACTCCTGGCTCTCTAATAGCTCTGGAGGATGGGGCTACTGTCCAAATAATGTGGTGGAGTCTGCACAGTGGTTGTTGTGGTGCATTATTTTTTGCTCCCTTTAGGAACTGGGTGATACACAAGGTCAACTGAGACAATTTACAGACTCACATAAAAGCAATACTGATTATTCAAATTGGTTCAAAAGCATACACTTGACTGAAAGATAATGGCCATATTTAAAAGTATCAAGTCTCTGCGTGGTGCCAATGACAGCATCTGGCTACTAACAGAAAGGCTAGAAGCTTGAACCAATCCAGAGGTGCCAGGAAAAAGACTGGTGACTGGCTACTTAAAGGTCAGACCCTTAAAATCTCTATGGAGCACAGTTATACTCTGCACACATGGTCTTGCCCTGAATTGACTCTACAGCAACGAGTACTTGTTATACTTAAAAGACAGTGGGAGAGGATCTAAATGTCAGCAAATAAAATCCATTTTTTGTATGTTTATTTTATGGTTAAGAGGCAGCATCAAGCTACTCCTTGAAGAGGATTGTATGGGTTGTGTAATCAATATTTATAAAGAAAAAACTGGATGATTTTCCAAATTCCATTATTTCTAAACTTTAGAGTACTTTGGTATAATTATAGTTGCTAAAATTTACTGCAATGCACTGATTATTTGAGGGTTTCAAAAGTTCTAGTTTAAAGATATATTCTAAATGGCCCAGAGAAGGGGTTGGTAAACATTCTAGGATGCATTGAGTCATACAGCCTTTGTTGCAAAGCTCTACCTTATATAGAAAATGCAACCATAGGCAACTTATAAATGAAGAAGCATGGCTGTGTTCCAAAAACATTTTTTTTTTTTTAATCCATGGTCAACTGTAAATTCAATGGCATATAATTTTTAAGTCACAAAATACTACTCTTTTTCAGATTTTTTAACACAATCATTTAAAAGTCTTAAAACCATTCTTAGCTCTTAGAAGTGGAAGAGGTAGAAGTAGGCTCAAATTGCTGATTAGCAATTGCTCTGGTTGTCAAACTCTGGTTTATGGAGCAGCAGCAGCAGCAAAAGGAGCCCTGATAGTATAATGGTTCACAAGTTCAGAAGTTTGAATCTACCAGATGCTCCATGGGAGAAAGATGAGGTTTTCTGTTCCCTTAAAGACTTGCAGCTTCAGAAACCCTATATAGGGTTGCTAGGAGTCAGAAATGACTCCACAGAACACTACCACCACCACCACCACCACCACCACCACCACCATCACCATGAGCAGGAGCAAAGCCAAGGAACTTGTTAGAATGTAAAGTTGTTGTCCCCATCCCAGACCAACTGAATTTGATCCTCCAGGTGACTCTTAGAGCCAGTGCTTCATACTCTTAACATGCACACCTGGGAATACAGCTAAAGCACACAGTTCCAATAGTCTGTGGTGGGGTAAGACATTATACACATTTGAAAAGCTCCTGGAGATGTCAAGACTGAAGACTGAGGGCCAAAGACATTCTCATTGGCTTACTAAGACACTAAAATAGTACAACACTTATTATGTATAGGAAAGGCACTTTGTTAAGTTAGTGCTTTATAGATATTATAAATAATCTTTATAATGATGCTAGAAAGGAGCTATTACATCTCAAAAAACACTTTAAAAAAGAAAATTCATAACATTAAAAAAATCACCTGTGAATCTGCTTGAAGTGCAAATAGTATTTTAATTTATCTATTGTCAATCTTATCTATCTTACATTAACTTTTAAAAAACCATACAATGTATTATTCTTTGAATTATCTATTTTTTGGGGGGAGCATTTTTAAAACTTGACTTATTTTTAAAAAAAACCAAACACAAAAACAGTGTTCTCTCCCAAGTCATTACACATTCTCATATAACACAATTTAAATGGCTATAAAGTGTCCATACATATGCAAAGCTTCAATGAGTTCATGAAAAAACTCCATTACTTTGTTTCATGAACTTTTTCAAGCACTCTCATATATAATTACCCCAACAACTATCGTGATTTCAGGCTGTTTCCTCCTCTCATTTTTTTCTTTATTGTGGAGAGTGAGGGTAGGAACTATTCTTGTGGTTATATCTTTGTGCATATTAGAATTTTACATTCCTTAGCACAAATTTCTGTTTTGTAAATGGTAGTTGAGAAATATGCGCTTTTTATAAAACTGCAAGCATTGTGTATGTTTTACATTCAGTACATTTTAACTCATTTAATCCCAGCAACAGGTCAGTGAGCTAGGGAATATTATTAATCCTATTTTAGAGATGAGGAACAACAAGGATGATCTGTCCAAGTCACATTCCTTAAGTGGAAGAGCTTGGATTTTGTCCAGGCTGAGAAACTCCTAAATATCAACTACTATGATTACTGTCCAACCTCTGAAAGTTTATAAGGCACTCCGCCACTAATAAGATCTTTTTTTTCTAATCCCAATTTTATGTAAGAGAAAACAGAATTAACAAAGAGAACTAGTCTACTTAGCTACAGCTACAACATTTGTGCCTTAAGTACAACTAGAAAATAAACAGATTTTACCCTTTGTAGAATGAGAAAACAATTACATTCCCTATATGAGCAAATGCTCTCAATAGCAAAGCACCTAGGATCTATGATAAGAAGTCATTACTCCTATTAATAAATGCCTCTATCACTTGCCACTCTCCCAAATGGATATGAGAACATGTCACTGTGTCTAACATTTACACATAAATAATTGATCTCGTCTCTTTTTCTATCATAACATTCTCTATTTTTTGGCATGTATCACTAGTAGCATTTAATTCAATACATGGAGTACCTACTATATGCCAAAAACAGTGCTAGGTATTAATATATCAACATGGTCAGTCTATTCCCTTAAAGGAGCTATTTAATTAATATTAAACAGTACTGATGCTGCAAAAAGCAAGTGCTTAACTGTTTACTGAAAGGTTGGCAGTTTGAACCCACCCTGAAAGTGCCTCAGGACATAAGCTTGGTAATGTGATAGGCCTTTTGCAAGGTCACTACCTTGAAAACTATATGGAGCAATTTTACTCTGCATACATGGGGTCGCTATGAGTTGAAATTGACTCAACAGCATTGAACAACAACAAACAGTATTACAGAAGGTGCAACGTGAGTACAAGGAAAGGGCATCAACACATATTTAAGACTGGCTGAGTTGAGACAGGATCTTGAAGAAGATGATTCCAGAACTGAGTTTTACAAGATGAAAAGATGTTGGCCAGATGTATACAAGCAGGGAGAGCGATGCAGGTAGAGGCAGCAGCATACGACCATAGATAAAAGGGTGAAGTCAGAAGAAAATCAGGGGATTGCAAATAGTTTGATATTCCTAGGGACGTAGGGTACAGTGGAAGAAATGGCTAGAGATGGAGCTGGACACTTACGCATATTAACTCATGAAAAATACGACTGAAAAAGCTTATCCACTAACATTTACAAAACTTACATACATCTATCTGGTCAAACACTCACTCTCTCTAGTGAATGGCCAAACAGACAAGTAAGAGAAAACAGAAAGGAACAAATCTTATTTGGACAACTAAATACCATTCCACCCTATTCAACAAAAAAATGAAAATCATAGAATCTAATTTGAGAAGCACTATAGCTTTTGAACGACAAGGAGGCAATATCCCTTAAGAGCTAACAAGCAGATCAGTTCCTATGTCCAAGAAACTCCAGTTTAGGAAATATCTCATGGAAATTAATTGAAATTGGTGGGCGGGAGCATCAGGGGAAGGGAGAGGGAATCTTATAAAAGTATATTTATAATTAAGCTCTTCATATAAAGGAAAACAAAGCAAATCCTGAGTTTCAGAACTTACAGATTAAGCAAACTATGATACGTGTATACTGTGATAACATAATCTATAGCTATAAATATTCTACAGGTGGAATACTGACAACTATATGGGTAGAATATTGCTGAGTTTCTGCCTGAGTTGATGAAAAACATTTGGACATAGTGGTGATGACGACGTAATATGGAGAGTGGAATTTAGTATTCCTGAACTACACACTTAAAAAGGCAACTTGTTTTTTTATCTTTAACCACAATTATAAAAAGAAAAAAGTCAACCAAATAAATAAACTAAGAAAACAAAACATGGGTCCACAGAGTTAAGAAACATAAAAAATGGTCCTTCAGCATAGATTACAAAATAGCATCAAAAATAATACAGTTGTTGGCATTTATTCTTCTGTAACTGTAATTTAAAACAAGAAAAAAAAGTTATTTTCACAATTTAAACTTACCAATCCTTCAGCTGTGTTCTGCTTCTCAACTGGTTTGCTATCCTTTCTACAGTTGTCTTCTGAACAAAAATTGCCTTCAGGTTTTTGATTTATAAGGGAAGATGACTTTTTATTTTTCAACAAGTGTTTCAAAAGCTCATTCCCTGTATCTCCTTTGGCAGCAGGGCCCCCAACAGGATGAGGAGAGCTCTGAGCTGAAGACACAGGATGGGCTACAGCTTTTTCTTCCACATTATTGCTGGTTTGTTCCTCTAATTTAGGTTCATCTCTGCCAGGGCACTGCTCTGTTTCAGACAGTTCTAATTTTACCTCTCCAATTTTGGCAGGAACTTCCATGGAGAATTTATCGGTCTCTGAATTTCCATGAGTCTGTTGATTTGGAGTTCCTTGTGAACAGTCACTAGTGGGCAGTTTGTTTTCTGATTCTGTGCACAGTTGGCTGACTGCTGTAGTAGGGGTTGGGGGGTCTACTGGTTCTGCAGACTCTTGTTCCATTTGCTGAGTAAGCTCACTGGGTGTGTTCACTATAGGAGTGGAGGTAGTTTCTGAAATACTTGGAGTCGGTGGAGCAGTTACATCTGAATGGGGAGTTGACGGTGCCTTGGTAGATTCTGTATCTTCATCTTTTTTCTTTTTTCTTGTTCTTTTCTTTTTCCCTTTTTCTTCTGGGATTATATCAGAATACAATTGAATGAGAGACTGGTTTGATCCTGGGCAACTTTGTCCATGGGTTAGAGTAGGGTCTTGGCCACATGGAAGACCGCTGTTAGTTACTGGGGGTGCTTCCGGTAATGCAGGTGTAAAAGGAGGTCTCACCTGGGACTGCTGGAAGTTGGTACCAGAAAGACTTCCACGCATCTGCTTAACAGAATGAAAATTTGGACTTCCACAGGGGATTGACTGTGAATCAGAAACAAATGAGGAAGGCCCTAACTGTCTTCGTTCATTTGTTTGCATAAAAGTATGGGTAGGGGGAGAATTCATAGATCCTTGTTGTATACTCTGCTGCTGCAAAACCTGCCCTATTTGCTGTTGGTGTTGCGGAGACTGCTGAAGGGGTCTTGGAGGTTGCATAAAATCACAAGGTAAGTCAGAACTATAGAATGGAATCTGGCCTACAGATGTCCTACTACTGAGTTCTGAGCCCATCATGCCACGTTGCTCCATTTCCATCCTCTGTTGCAAAGTTCTTTGTCTATCTACTTCTTGCATAAGTTGGATTCGTTGTCTTTCCTGTTGTTCTCGTAAACGTTCCTTACGCTCTCGTTCTTGAAAGCTTTCACTAAAGGGATTGTTGTCATCAAATTCTACCCGTGGTGGTGGTCCACTCTGTGGATTTGCATTTGACACTGTCCCTGGGGCTGCAGTGCAAGTCTTTATTGGTATCTGGGCAATAGGGGGTGGAATCCTAGGAGGATTGAGGGGCAAGTGAGCAGGAGCATTACTAGGCTGCCAACCAGTTAAATTAGGCATTCTGGCAGGGCTGGGATGGCCAGTAATAACTGCTGTGTGCTGCTGGTGCTGCAGTTGCTGTGGCACCATGGGGAAGTTGGACTGGGTCATAGAGGGGGTCGTGGCTCCTGGAACAAGGGGTGGCTGGGGCTGGACACCAGAAATTATGGTAGGTGGGGCCATTGCACACTGCTGCTGCTGCTGTTTGATGCGATAATCTTCAATCAGCTCTGCATGCTCTTTCTGTTGTTTACGAATCTGCAATAATAAAATTAATCATTTATTTACATAAGTTAAACACAACCAATTAAAATACTGGCTGATGATAATGGAGAGGGTTATACAGAAGGCAATTAAAACTGAGAAGCAAAACTTTTTTGTGTAAGCAAAGGCCAAAAAAAAAAAAAAATGTATGATAAATCTTAGCCAAATAAATATTTCTATTTAAATATTTTCTTACAATAGGAATTTTCCATAGGCATCTGTAAAACTTCTAAGTGAAGCAAACAGAAAATACTAAAAATATTTTTTTGGAGTTAAAAAAAACACACACAAAAACATTAAACACATGTCATTGCTGACATGATAAACTATTTAAACTACACATCCAAAAAGTTATGATAAAGCAGTAAATCAAAACTACACAGAAAGCAAATGCTTCTGATGCTAATAAAATGACTAATACGTAAGATTAGAATAACTTTGAGATTTAACTCCCTTAAGCACTTAAACATGTTAAAAACTTCATGTTTTAAAAATAAAAGTTGTAAAATATTGTAAAAAGAGGTAGATAAATGGCTACTTCATTAGCACATACAACCACATTTCTTCACTAAGTTAAAAATAGTTCTTGAACTTAGCGGGTACTATAATCAAGTTACATTTTCTGAAATGTATATAGGCTCTGAGGTAATATTTTGAATAGTTTCCAGTTGTTGTTGTTAGGTGTCAATGAGTCAATTCTGGCTCATAAAGACACTATGAACAACAGAGCAAAACACTGCCCAGTCCTGCGCCATCCTCACAATTGTTATGTTTGATCCCACTGATACAACAACCATGTTAATCCCTCTCATCTGGGTCTTCCTTTTATTTGCTGACCTTTGATTTTACCAAGCCTTATGTCTTCGGGACTGGTCCCTACTGTTAATCACATCCAAAGTATGAGAGATGAAGTCTCACAACCCTTTCTTCCAAGAAACCTTATGGCTGCTTCTTAGAATAAACAAAGACGGATGTGTTTGTTCTTCTGGCAGATTATGGTACTTCCACTATTCTTTGACAATACTGTATTTCTAATACATGGATTTTTCTACAGTCTTATTTATTGTCCCACTTTCACAGGCATATGAGGTGATTAAAGTATCATGGACTCACAAAATGACAGCAATCAGTTCATACCTATCGATAATTACACTAAATGTAAATGGATTAAATGCACCAGTCAAGAGAAAGAGAGTAGCAGAATGCTAAGAAAACAGGATCCTTCAATATGCTGTTTACAAGAGACATCTTACACACAAAAACAGAAAGAGGCTAAAAATCAAAGGGTGGAAAAAACACATCAAACTATTGGTAATAAAAAATGAATAGGAGTGGCAATCTTAATCTCTGATAAAACACGACTTTACAGCAAAATCCAGCATAAGAGACAACGGATATTACACATGACTACGGGGTCAGTTGAACATGAGGATATAACCAGAATAAATATCTATGTCTCCAATTAAAGAGCCTTAAAACATATAAATCAAACTCTAATAGAACTAAACAAAGAAATAAGACTCACCTACAATAATAGATTTTAATATACCATCTTTGATAAATGACAGAACTATAAATTCAACAAAGACACAGAGGAACTAAACAACACAATCAACTTGACCTCATACACAGATACAGAGTACTCAACTCAACAACAGTACAACATACATTCTTTTCCACTGAACACGGAACTTCTTCAGAATAGACCATATGTTAGGTCACAAAGCAACCTCAACAAATTTAAAAGCATAGAAATACTATAAAGCATCTTTTCAGATCACAATGCTATATAAAATTAGAAATCAACAATAGAAAGATTAAGAAAAAAACCATGAAATACATGGAAACTGAACAACACAGTGTGGGAAACAGATTTAAAAAAAAAAAAAAAAAAAAAAAAAAAAAATATTTTCTTGAATCTATGTCTCTATTGAGGAGGGAACAGCCAATTTGAAAAGAAATATCCATGAACTTTTTGAAGCCTTTTCATAGACGTGTGTAAAATGAAAAGGTTGATTTAAAAAAAAAAAAAAAAAAAAAAAGAAACAAAAAACTTCCTGAGTCAAATGAGAATGAAAACATACTTACCAAAACCTTTGGGACTCAGTAAAAGCAATGCTTAAAGGGCAATTTACTGCAATAAATGCACACATCCAAAAAGAAGAATGAACCAAATCAACACCTTAACCACACATCTCCAACAATTAGAAAAAGAGCAGCAGATAAGCCTACTTCAGAAGAATAAAAGGTAGAGCAGATATAAATAAAAAAACGTAGCATCAACAAGAGGTTGGTGCTTTGAAAGAATTAATAAAAATCCATAAACCATTAGCAAACATACTAGAGAAGAAGATACAAATAACACAAATAAGAAATGATTGATGTGACATCACAACAGAACCGACAGAAATAACGAGGATAATAACTGAATATTATGAACAGTTGTACTCCAATAAATCTGAAAACCTAGAAAAAAAGGGACAAATTTCTTGAAACACACAACCTACCTAAACTAACACAGGCTGAAGTAGATAAGCCGATGAGGCCTAGAATAAGCAAAGAAATAGATCAAATCATTAAAAAACTTCCAACTAAAAAGAGTTCAGGCCAAGATGGCTTTACTGGTGAATCTACCAAATATTCAGAGAAAACCTAACACCAATTCTATTCAAACTACTCCATAATACAAAAAAGGATAAATAACTCCCAAATTCATTTTATGAAGCAAACATTAACTCTGATACTAAAACCAAGCAAATACATCACTAAGAAAGAAAATTATAGGGCAATATCCCTCATGAACACAGAATCCTAAGCGAATAGAATCCAACAATACATGTGAAAAAAGTGGAAATCCTAACAGGCATGCAGGGATGGTTCAATTAAAAACCAATCAAAGTAATCCACCTCATAAATAAAGCAAAGCATAAAAAAATAACATGATCCTATCAATTCAAGCAGAAAAAGACATTTGACAAAATCCAACACTCATTCCTGATAAAAATACTCAACAAAATAGGTATAAGGAGGAGAAATTCCTCAATTAACAGCATTTATACAAAACAAAAGGAGCTCTGGTAGCACAGTGGTTACGAATTGGGCTGGAAGCTGCACTGTCAGCAGTTCGAAACTACCAGCTGTTCCACAGGCGAAAGATGAGGTTTTCTGCTCCCATAAAGATTAACAGCCTCAGAAACCCTGTGACAGGGTCGCTATGAGTCGGAACTGACTCCATGGCACATAACAACAACAACAATACAAAACAAACAGCCAACATCACTCTCAACAGTGAGAAACTAAAGTCATTCCCCTCACAAACAGGAACTAGACAAAGATGCCCTTTATCATGACTCCTATTGAATACTGTACTGGGAGTCTCAGCCTAAGCTATAAGGCAAGAAAGGGAAATTAAAGACATTCAAATTGGCAAAGAAAAAAACAAAACTGCTTGCAGATGATAAGATCCTACACTTAGAAAATCCCAAAGACTCTGCAAGAAAATTACCTGAACTCATTGGCAGAGCCGGCAAAGTGGCAGGGCACAAGATTAACATACCAACATCAGTTGGATTCCTTTATACCAATAAAAAGTGCTCTGAAAAAGAAATCAGGAAAGCAACAGCATTTACAACAGCCGCCCCAAAGATGAATTATTTGGGCATAAATCTAATCAGAGAAATGAAAGACCTATACAAAGAAAATTATAAAACAAGAAATCAAGAATATTTGCAGAAATGAAATAATATACCCTGCTCATGGACAGACTTAATGCTGTGAAAATGTCAAAACTACCCAAAGCTATCTATAGTTATAATGCTATTCCAATCCAGATTCCAACATCATTCTTTAAAGAAATGGAAACCCTAATCACCAACATTAAAGAGACCCCAGATCAACAAAGAATTATTAAAAAAAGAACAAAGCAGGAGGTCTCTCAATTCCTAGTCTCAAAACTACAGCCACAGTTGTCTAAATGGCCCAGTACTGGTAAAATGAAAGGCACACAGATCAATTGAGAACTGTGAAGTAAATCATCCACCTATGGTAAGTTGATCTTTCACAATGGGCCAAAATGCATTATCTGGGGAAAAGAAAGTCTCTTCAACAAATGGTGCTGGCAAAATTGGAAATCCATTTGCAAAAAAAGGAAGTAAGGGCCGTATCTTACACCACATACAAAAATGAAGTAAACGTGAATTATAGACCTAAATGTAAAACCTAAGACTATACAGATCATCAAAAACTAGGGCAGACTCAGGAACTTTGATATATTGCATAAACACACTACCAAATATAACTGAAAACACAAACAGAAGACAAAATAGATGACTGTGTCCTCCTATAAATGAGACATTTATGTGCATCAAAGTGTTTCACCAAAAGAGTAAAAAAGAGAACCCATAGACTGGGAAAAAATGTTTGCCAATGACCTATCAGATATATGACTACTCTCCAAAATTTATAGAGCACTTTAACACCTCAACAAGAAGAAGACAAATAATCCAATTTTAAAAATGGGCAGAGGTCTCCCATGTAAACTATCACATAATTCACAACAAAACATTAAAACAAAAAAAAAATGGGCAGAGGTATGAATAGATACTTCACCAAGAAAGACATTCAGGTGACCAACAAACATATAAAGAAATGCTCATGATCATTAGGCATTTGAGAAATACAAAGCAAAACAATGAGCAAAACCTTACTCCACCATTAATACCAAAGTTTAAAAAAACCAAGAAATGCTGGTGAGGGTATGGAGACAGGGACCTTCCTACACTGCTAGTGGGAATGTAAATGGTTCAACCACTGTGGAAAAGGGTATAAGCGCTGTCTAAAAATGTTGGAAATTAAAATACCGTATGACTCAGCAATCCCTCTACTTGGTATATATGCCAAGAAAATACACTATGACTTGACTAGATATATGCACAGCCATGTTCACTGCAGCACTATTCACAAAAGCAAAAAGTTTTATTTTAAATAAGTTTTAAATGTTACTTATTTATAGATGTAAATGTTATTTCACTTTGAAAACACTGAGAAACATTTACTTTAAAATGGAAGATCACAGCAAAATGTTTTGTTTCAGGAAGAAGTCCTTTAATAAAATATACCAATGAATTTTAAGATTAAAACATTTAGAAGGGAAAAAATATTCCACGAAAAAGAACCAGAGTGGCTCAAACGCTTTATATGAATTTCACTAGAAACTAGGGAGAAGAAAGTAAATGATAAAAGAAAAGGTCAACTCAAGTGAAAAGACACTTCTGGAGACTATGATTTTTGTTTCAACCTAAATCTTTTGATCTCAGAAAAGCATTTTGTTGTTGTTGTTCTTTTTTTTTTTAAAAAAAAAGTGCCATGGAGTCGGTTATGACTCAGTGCAACCCTGTTTAGAGTTTCTGAATAGTGTCTGGTGGGTTTGAATCTCTGGCCTTGTAGTCAGCAATTTAGTGCTTACCTTACAACACCCACCAGGATTCCTCAGAAAAGCTAAAGGTTCTCAAATGATGTAGCAACATGGGCATTCCACAGTGATTTCTTGGTATAGGAATAATAACTTAATATTCGTAACTATATCAAGGATGCTGAAGAATACGAAACCTGTTCTTCAAATCAGAATTATGAGAGTTGATCTTTTCAATGGAATTTAAGAAGTACATACTGTGTGACTATTAGTTTCAGGTAAGGACTGGCACTGCTATTCCTTCTGTCAAGAACAGTTCTCAGGCCTGTGCTTTTTATATGCTGTTTGACACTAATGATCAATCCTATATTAATGAATGACAATAAAATTCTACTCATCAATTACTGACAGTTTCTATTTTGCACACATATTACCTGTTCCAGCTGTTTCTGAACCATGCTTTGCTGCTCAGTAACATGCTTCAGTTGTTCTGCATCTTCTTCTGGAAACTCACGCCCAGCTTTCTTCGCAGTACGTTGCTTGGCTGAAAGGGCCTTCTTAGATTTTCTGTGTGCACCAATTTGTTCTTCAAGATACTTTTGCTGCATCTGAAGAAGCTGTTGGGTTTCCTGAAGCCATTCTTCATATTGTTTACGCTGTGAGTCATCTGAAGAAAAACATTTTAAGTTCATTTGTGTTAGTTTCCTAAAGATTCCATAATTATAAAAGTCAAATAAATCCATTTTTAAAGAAAATGCAATTGCGCCATAGTCTCAGAAATAAATTACTTTAAAACACTGCATTAAATGTCAGACTAATATGCTACTATAAAGTAGATTTTAGGTTAAGTAATTTTGAAAGCCAAAGAATGCATATTTTTAGGACAATAAATATTTCCAAATACTTTAAATCTAACCTTAGAGGAGAATATTTTTATCTACTGAAATGTTTTATCTAATGAACTATCAAAGTCTCTAACCCAAACTATTAAGTTATATCATAATTTTATCAGTTCAATTTAAGAGATTATGAAGAGACAGTTGTTTCAACAAAACTACGACACAGTCTTTTAACAGCTAGAGCATAGATTAAATCATCATTTCCCATGCTAATTTTCTTTAGATTATAAGATTTCCTAATATCTTTACAGTGAATAAAGATCCTAAACAGAAAGGAGAACACCCAACTATTTTAGAAAGGACTATGTTTTATTTAGAAGAAATTCACATGTTGAAAACATTGGTAATTTTTACCAATTTTATGATTTATAGTTCTATAAATAAGCAAAGGGAGGTCATAATTTATCAAGTAAAATATTTCCCAGTTTTATAACTGCCGTTAATATCATCATAGATAGCTATCTTTCTTTATCTTGTATCATATTCTTTATTTTATAAGGGCACTTTATTACACAGATACTAATTTTTAAAAAAGTCATTTTATGGTAGTGAAATTCTAAATACACCTTTTGATTCACTACAAGACAAATCAATGAATTAATACAATTCTAGAAAGGACATTTGTTGAAAAATAACACCAATGATAACAGAATATTGTCATACATTAAGAATCCAACCAAAGCCAATGGGCACAATAAAGCCAGAAAAAGCCAGTTGGTTATAGTAGTTTCCTTGTTTTAATGCAAATATGTATTCAAATTAAAATCATAATTAATGCAGGGGGTATTACAAAAGGTCACACTTTGGGTTTGTTCCTAAACCCAGAAGTTGCAGTTATGTATGAACTTGAAAACTATTCTGCTAAATTTGAAGGGCATTTTTTAAGAACAGGCTTTTTCACAAGATTTCAGAAGTTCTGCTTCTGGTAGAATGAGACCTACCGCAAGGAAAGCCTTTCTGGTTTCTGGAACCAGGAGAGCAGAGGTGAGCAAAATGAAAAATAATGGTGAAAAAAAAGTTAGCTAAACAGTCTGAAGATTTCAGAAAGGTTTAGTTTGGGGAGAACTTTAACTATTATCCTGAACCACATTGGGACCCCTGAAGATAACTAGATTCAATGGTGTAACGCATACTTGACCTTCACACCATGCTGCTAACCCAACTTATTTCTAAGCATATTCCCTTTGCTTTTCCCATTTTGTGTCCTTGTCATTCTAGGAAGGTAGCCTTTAGAGCAAGAAGTGGTGCAATTCTACAGTCTGTAAAAGTACCCAATCATATTCAAAAGCAATAGCAATAATAATATTTAAGAGAATTGGGAAGATGATTTTTCTATATTAAAATACTGATTTCTAACTATAACTCTTCATGCACAGAGAAAAAAGCATTGAAAATACATGCCTTGAAGAAAAGATGACCTAACAGGGCAGTGATGTTTGATAAAGATGCGGGCACTTAGGCCTAAAATAAACTAACTACAAGTTTTTAAAAGAACACAAGAGTGCAAACAGGCAATCCCCAGAAAACGCATAACTTATTAGATTTATACTTACTGACAAAGCCTGGACCAAAATTTGGAGGATTAGGCCTAGAAATCTGATGTGTTATACTGCCATCCTAAAATAAGTAAAATTTATAAATAGTTTTATTCCACATTTCAGTTAAAGACGAAAATAACTTTAATTTTAAAAATTATGAAACAAAATGAAATGGAAGGGAAAAATGAAACACTTCAATTTTATAAAGCTTGAATTTTCATTAAAAAGTAGATTGAATTTAGTGAAAACAACATAATTTCTGAAAACGATGCCTGAACTATTTACTAGGTTTCAGTTAAGTAACATTTATGCTTAAATCATTATATTCTTCAGAAATTGAATTCCAGGGCAAGTTTATAACTGCTAATATTCTAGAGTTCATGTCTCTATCTGTTTTTTTGATGAAGTTTATCTGATTTCTTCTGTACTCTACAACATCAAGTTATGTATAACAAGAATCAAATGCACAACTAAAAGTACATGAATTATAAATATTAGTATTATTTCCTACTTGTATTATTTATTACATGGGAATATATGACACTATAGGATAAACAAAGGACTGCTAACCACAGGATTGGTGGTTCAAACCCACCAGCTGCTCCTTGGAAACACTATACAAGGTTATTATGAGTTGGAATTGACTTGACAGAACTTAATTGAATTTTTATTAATCTCATAATTCCCTGGTGAAAGTCTAGTATGTTTACACAATTATTGTAAGTTCTGTTAGACATCAGCTATATGCAGTGGTTATACATGATAATAGGAAATAGAATGTACTACATAATACTGCAAAGTAGGTGGTATGTTATTTAACAGAGCCAAAATCAGAGGCTGAAGAACTTGACTAATGTTACACAGTAAATTCACGGTTCAACTTTTTTCTTCAATTCAACTACAAAGCCTATGCTTTCCTTCTCATGTCAGATGGTATCTCTTTCTTCTTTTAATAATGAAAGGAATGTGGTTATCAGGATAGTAAATCTGAAGTATAACTAACTGGGCAGAAAAGGAAATCCTACATTTCTTTGAGAGAGATGCTAAAACAAGAATGAATTACTGGAGAAATTATATGAAATGAGCAATTCTACTTTCCTGGGCATTATCTGACACGAAGAACACCGTTCCATTTATATATTTTCAATTAAATATGACTACTAGCTAAACTATTCCAAGGAGTAAGTAGAACAGGACTACCTATATCTAAAGAAAATTATTATAATCATAACTTTCCATTTAGGTTTTTATTGTGAATTATGTGTTAGTTTTACATGGGTGAACATTATCTTTACATTCACCCTATCGTATTTTATTCATTGCAATGATCACAATTCGCTGCATGCATCATCAAACAGCCAAAGGGTACACCCCACGCGCCTGCCACCTGGCCGCCAGCACATAGCGCTTCTCCCTCCGAGTCAAGTCCCCAGCCGCTCCTTCTGTCCACGTCATTGTCTCTGCCTCCATCCCTAGTGTCACTGTCTCCCCGGACAGGGTCTCACACTTCTATAGCCAGTTACATTTTAAACTTAACAAATCAATTCCAAATTTCAGGATATATAAATGTCTAAGAAAGTTTAAAAAAAAAAAAAAGGAACCCAAGCACAAATCTAAACACCAAAAAACAGTTAGTTTCTAGTTAGGTTATTTTCTGTCATTAAGTATATCCAGAAATTGTAACCAAGTTTTCACAACATTTAATTAGTCTTCCTAAACAAACCAAAACCGCCTATTTCTGCTGATTTAGTAATATACTTGCCAGCGCTCTAAGTCTACCACCACTTTTTAGAAGTGGTCTCGCTATACAGTCAAATACGTTGAGAATCACACAGCGTTCTAAAGTGACCATTACAAGCAGAATTACCTGAGTCATTGCCTGAGGTATGAGACTCTGGCCTTCACTGTTCTGTGTTCCAGTCACTGACTGACCCATAAAGGGGAACCTGTGAAAAGGAAGCACTAAGTATCAAATAAGGAACATTTGGAAGATATTTTCAGTACTTAAAAGTTTTCTGCTCCAGGGAAGATGAGAACAGTAACATATTCCTCATCAAATACTGACTAAATCTCCATTTATTTTTGTGTCTAGCAAGCACATTTAACCCTCACTGTACCTCTATAAAGTGTGTACTCTCAGTATCCTCATTTTACTTACAACTACAGAGACTCCTGGTGTGGCGCTGGAGGATCAGGACTGGACTGCAAACCACAAGGTTGGCAGTTCAAACTTGCCAGCTGGTATACAGGGTCACTATGAGTCAGAACTGTATCGACAGCACTTCAAAACAACAAAGACTATAAGAGTACTGGCATGGAGCTGTAGATAAGCAGTAGACCACAAAGTTGGTTTGAACCACAAGGTTGGTGGATCAAATTCAAATTTACCAGTCACTCCTTGGAAACCCTATACAGGGTTGCTATGAGTTGGAACCAACTTGGTGATGGCATGTAACAACAACAAATGAAGATTTAGACAGATTAACTTTTTCCACATGAAATAGTGAGGTTGAGATAAGAAGGCAACTAATCTGATTCTAAGGAGCCCTGGTTGCAGTGGGTTATGCATTGTGCTGTTAACCACAAGGTCAGCAGTATGAATCCACCAGCCACTCTGTGGGAGAAAAATGAGTCCTTCTGGTTCTGAGATTGATAGTTTCGGAAGCCCTAGACAGGGTTGTTAAGTGTCAGAACCAACACAAAGGCATAGCCCCACCACCACAAGTCTGATTCTAAAGATTTATTCTGCTCTATGTCTTAATGTAGTTTAAAATAAAGTTACAGTAACTCAAATCTTAAGGATAAGGTAATAAAGACTTAAGGTTTACTGAATAAATTCATAAACTTTTTTTCTTTTTTCCAGTATTTATTTAAAAAATAATTGGTAATTTAGAATTTTGTATTTCAAAACAAACAACATATATATTTCAATTAAGCAGCATCATTAATTTATAATTATAAATATACATCCCTTATTATAAGTCCTAGTATGACGCTATGGGCTAGACGCTGGACTACTAAATGCAAGGTTGGGGGTTCAAATCCACCAGCCACTTCTCTAATACCCTAAAAAGGATCACAATGTGTCAGAAATGACTCAATGACACTTAACAACAATAGCTAATGCGCATGTAAATGGAACAACATCTGAAAGAAGAAAAATCTTTATGATTAAAGTATTTGGAAAAATGTTTTCTGTATTCTAATTAAAATTACAATTTGTTTTTTGTGAACTATATGCTATGTCAATTGACCTAGATGTTCCTATGGCCTTAAGTACCCAAGTCCTGTGACTCATTTCCTCAAGATGTTTGGTTATGGGTAAGAAGTTTTCAAAACTTTGCCCCATGTACACTGTACTCTATCTTTGGATATATTTGCAGCAATACAAGTACATATAGAGAAATCTACATCACTGCTTATATGATAACATTTTTTCTTGAATTACCAGATGCTTTAAACATATCAAGATACATGCAACACAATTTCCAAAATATAGTCCAAGTATTGTACATTAGTATTCGTTGTTAAGTGCTGTCAAGTTGGACTCTCTCTAAGATTTCCAAAAAGCAGCTGGTGAGTTTGAACCACTCACCTTGCAGTTCAAACTGACCTTGTGGCCCAGTACTTTATCCCACAGTGCCACACCAGGACTCCACATTAGTATATAAATAGTACTAAAGTTCAAAATTTATACTTTTATCCCCTACCCTGCTACAGTTCTCACCTGAAGTATCTCTTAATCCAAATATCCTTCACTACTTATTGCCCTCATTAAACGTTGTTGCTGTTGTTGTTATGTGCTGTGGAGTCGGTTCTGACCCATAGCGACCCTGTACAGGGTTTCCGAGGCTGTAAATCTTTACAGGAGCAGAAAGCCTCATTTTTCTCCCACGGAACAGCTGGTAGTTTTGAACCGCTGACCCTAAGGTTTGCAGCCCGATTCGTAACCACTACGCTATAGCACATATTTTTTAAGCATTCATAAACCTATCATATATCCTTGAAACATTCAACAAAGAGCAAACAGTATGCCTTGTTGTTGTGTTGTTTCCAACTCACAGAGACCCTATATAGGGGTTCCAAGGAGCAGCTGGTGGGTTTGAACTGTCGACCTTATGGTTAGCAGTCCAGTGCTGATCTTACAGTGACACACCAAGATTCCAGCATGCCTTAGGCATGACTCATTTATCAGTGTATGTCTAATTGGTATAGACATGATGCTAAAAAAGGTTCTAATTCCAAGGTCCATATTAAAAGTTTTAAATAAACATTGCTCATAATGAAAGTCATCAGAAATCATGTGAATGTCAACAATGTTTCAAAACTGTTTACCTAGTATCTCAGCAATAGGAAAAAAAAACAAAACACACACACACACACACACACACACACACTGTACCCCTTATGGGTTTTAAGTTCCTTTGATGTACCAAGTTTATTTTAAATTGAAGGGGACTTTGTATTTAATTCTATACTATCTAGATTCCTTTTTTTCTTTCAGTTTTCCACCAAGTTACTGCATTTATGTTCAAAGTGACTCCACTGATAGAAGTTCTTGAACAGCAATACACATGAGAATGATGCATGTTGCTTAGCAAAAATACAAGTACATATGCATATACACCATTTCCAATCTGCCGTCTTTCCGGTCTCTACCTGGCTTAGAAGTTTTATCTTTGACCCAAGTGCTGTCCTTTTAGTCTCTGTATTTTAGAGTACATATGGTTGACTGTACTGAAGAGTACATTCCTCCCTGGTATCCTTATTTTAAAGCCCTGTCTATTGCTCGGCAGCAAGTTTATCCTCAGGGTTCAGTTCAGTTCCAGACTTGAGAAGAGTGTGTCACAGACTTCGGGGTTCCAACACTCTCTTATCAGACCATTAATGCTGATCTTTTTTATGATTCTGAATGTTGCTCTACATTTTTTCTCCTCCCTCTCTGTTCAGGACCTCATATTGTAATTCCGATCAGACTGGTCAGTGTTGGTAGCCAAGTACCACCTAGTTCTTAGGCTCTCATGGTAGTGGAGACTGAGGTTTGCATTGTCCATTAGTTCTTTGGGCTAATTGTTTCCCTCAATCTTTGATTTTCTTCATTCTGCTTTGCTCTGGAATAGGAGAGATCAATAGCTGCATCTTAGATGGCAGCTAACAAGCTTTTAAGGCCTCAGTTGCTTCTCACCTTAGTAGGTTGTATAACATTGTTTTTGTACATTACATATGGTAACTGAGCTAGATGTTTCCCCAAGACTATGGCCACATAAGTACCCAGCCTGATTACTCATTCCCTCAAGATGTGTGGTTACGGATAAAAAATTTTCAGAACTTTGCCTACTACTATAATCTTTGTATGTATTTGCAACACATGTAAGTACATATGTAAGAAATGTTCTTTGCCAAATGCATACATACTTAAGGATGGACTCCCATCCATCTTCTCCCGTCTGTTTAGCTTGCATGCGTATCTATAAATATCCTTGCAGATACTGTTTATTACTATTCCAGCATTGTATATGCTACAGTATTTACCTCTGTTGTTTTCTATGCTTACATATTTACTAGTATCTTCCTTTGCCTTGGTCATCTTGGGCCACCCTCCTCCTTTACTATATAATGCTTTTCACTTCCCCAAGTTAACTGTGTCTAGTGCTCTAGTTAATGATTTACCCTTCCATACTTGCTAACCATCAAAGACTACTTCATTGTGTTTGTAAATTTTTGAAAAAAAATTTTAAGAGCTAAATCCACATTGACCTTAATCACTTAGTATCTTTACCACAAAATCCTATTTACCCACTCTGTGTTGTTCTTTTTAATGGAAGAAAAACAAAAAATCCCTTAAAATTGAGAGTCTCAAATAATCTTTTCTCAATACAAACAGTCCCATTTCTATTTTTCTGCTTATCTTTTCATCTTCATCTCTTCAGGATGAAAGAGCTCTGTCCAAAGGATCTCTTAGTTAACATTATCAATTAATTCTAAAGATATTTAAAAGTGCTCACACGTAAATACTTTGAATTTCCTGATTAATCCAGTCAATCTTTCAAGCCTATCAATTATGCTCTATTATATTTACTATGAAATTAATGACAATGAACTATTTATAATACCTATTGTTCATTTCTAGAATATAAGCATTGAGCTTCTGTGCATTAATTCTGAGAACTAGGTAAAATTTCAAGCACTTCTGAATGCAAAGTAAAAATAAGAAGCATTGTTATTACATACCTGTTCATAACCATTGATGGCATGCCCATATTGTTTTGTGCCATTACTTTATTTATGCCTTTGAGGGCCACCATCTTGGCTTTCATTATAGGATCTGTAATTGCATCAAAATCTAAAGAAAAAATAGTTTAAAGTTACTTTTTTTCCACAGTATTTGGCTTAAGGTATACTATGAGATAAAAGGTAACTATCACAAATATACTATTCTTTATAAACTCTTATTCCTTATTATATAATAATCACTACAGTTTTCTATGGAAGCGTGGTGGCTCTGTAGGATAAACACTAGACTGAAAACCACAAGGTCAGTGGTTTGAGCCCATCAAATGCTCTGTGAGAGAAAGATGAGGCTTTATGCTCCTGCAAAAATTTCATGCATTAGAAATCCTACACAGGGCCATTATGAGTCAGAACAGACTCCATGGGACTTTGATGACAACAATGCCACAGGTTTCTGTATTAGGTAAGGGATTGAGATATAAGAAATGTATCCTGAATTTAAACCCTTATCAGTAAATCATTAATGAAGATTTTAATACTTTACTCTCCGATAATTAAAACAAGAATTCTGTCAAATTTAAGGAAGATTATGGCAGTAATCTAACATAACACAATCCCCTTTCATCCAAATTTTTATAATGTTAATCAGCAATACTTTTTCAGTAATATAGCATCATGACTGAGAATTTGTATTTATTTACAATACAAGGGAAATTCATTATAGTAATTATCACTCTTAAAAAGAAAGATGTATCAATTTCTTGAGGCTATATCCTCACAATATGGAGAGGCTATTGATAAAAAACCTTTTTGTGCGTACATAAAACAGTAATGAGCCAATTTGATAAAATCAGGAATGCATCTAAAATAGAATGTCAGTGTTGCATACTGAAGGCCAGTCTAATGACCATATACATTACTATTAAGACTCAAGTAAAGTCCTACCAATATTAGGGAAGAATGGTTCAGAACGCTGACGTATCATGGCTTGCATCTTTCTTTGCTGCTGCTGCTCTTGTCTCTCTTGATCCAAAAGATCCTGTAGAAGTAGAGGCTGTTCCTCTAGAAGGAGGGGCCTCTCTCTATTCTGCTGGGCTAATGTTTGAGGAATCATCAGCTGTTGTGATCCAGACATGCCACTGGTACCAGATTGACTCGTGAGAGGCACAGTTTGATTTGTAGATTTTCCTGTCACAAAATTATGACTGCTTGACTGACCCTGAACAAACCCTGGGTTTACCTGTATACTCTGAGAAAAAGTATGGTTTACCCTAGAGACTACTGCCACATTAGCATTCATGTTATTATCCAAAACATGACCAGCTGGCGTCATTAAAGTAGGAGGCAAACTTGACATATGATTAGATGGTGAGGCTGGCAAAGTTGATGGTGGAGAAGACCCCAATGGCCTAACGTCTGAATTATCTGACTTTTCGTTAGCAAGTAAACTTGAGAGAACAGGAGTCGATCCAGTTATGCCACAAGAGTTTATTACATCTTCAGCAGGTAGTTGAGCAGATCCTTGAACACTTGTGCTGGAGTCATCAGTTTCCTGATTAGTTTTTTCCTCAGGTAGATCTGGATTACAAGGTTGCAAAGCAGCCTTTTCTCCATCATTAAGGTCTGCATTAGTAGAAGCCTTTGAGCAGGGAATATCAACAGAATCTTTATCCTCATTTTTCTCAATTTCATATTTAGTTTCCTCTTTAGAAGTTGGAGATAATGCTTCAGTTTTTATCTCACTGGCAACAGTGGATTTTTTCTGTGGTGAATGTTTATCAGAAAGAATCAAAGTTTTGTCTTCTTGTTCCTTTTTTTTTGGTTCAATAGACATGCACTGATTATCATCAATTGGAACATTTAGATCAAGTTCTTCATTAAACATGCTTTTCTTATCCCCCAAGTCAAGTTCTGGATCTGTATATGCAATTATATCAAACTCTCCTGATCTCAAGAGGTCATCCAAGTTGGGATCATTTGTTTCCAAATTACCTAAAGTATCCAATTCATCTCCCTTGCCATCCTCTGTATCTAGATTTAAATTTTCAAGATCCTCATCATCTAAGTCTTTGACTTCAACCCCCTCAAGGTCTTTGACATCTAGTTCTTTTACAGATGGATCAATAGAATCAAGTTTCTCTTCAAGACCATCAGAAGACTGGTTGGTTACCTGTAAATTATCAGATGTAGTTTCAGCTGGAGTAGATGTTGACAAAGATGCTTCTGAAAAGTCACCACTTAAGGGATGACTCAGAGACCTCATGATCACAGATGATGAAGGGGTAGAATGACTTTGCTCTTGCTGTGATGGTGCCACTTGTTCCACATTTGGATGCACAGGTAATTGACTGGGTAGGCATTGGGGAGGCCGTCTCATGGGGTCTGTGTGTCTAGGGCCTGGAAAGTCTGTCCGGGGAATGAAGTTTCCATGTCTTGGATGAGAAGACGCTTCTATAACACTGCCAGCAGGAGCACTAAAGGGCAGCTGTGGCCTTCCATCAGGGGTTCTATGCCTTAATTCAATAAATGCTTGGCCCAGTATGTTATGCTGCTGAACTGGTAGACTCTGTGGTGGAAAATGCTGAGCAAGTCCAACTGGGTTATTCATTTGTGGGTTATTTAAAGGCCTAGGCATATCTACAGACATTGGTCTTCTGAGTTGAGGAGGAACTCCAGATCCTTGTATTTGTTGAGGAGGTACAAGGAAGTGCTCCTGACTTGATATGGTACCATGACTACCTCCTGAAAATCCAAATCTAAAAAAAAATTCAAACAGCTTGTTTTAATATAAGTATTAAGCAAAATTTAGACTTAGGTTGTACAAAGGAAAAGATTAGACTAAAGTATAGGTATAAAATTTTGCTGTCAAATATAATAACTAGGCAAAAATTAAACACCATCAATAAAAAGTAACCATATGCAAATAAATTTTTATAGTACTGTATTAATGTACACCTTGCCAGAGAGCTCTAAAAGCTGATACTGGTAATAGATAACATAAACAAAGATAAATCACTCAAGCAGACAGAACAAACTGCCCCAAAATAAGCCAATGCTATTGGAATTTGTGCTTAGGGAGGCTCCTAGGCTGAGGGAGGCTCCACCAAGGAAACTGATTTAGGGAATGACTGCATGCAGTACGGCAATCTACCAAATTTGTTGTTGGTGTTAGAAAATTAAATAACTCAATACATTAAAAGTCAAAACCACACATGTAATGACTAAACAAACTAACTAAGCCTACTGACTTGAAAGGAATAAGGAGGTAGTAAGAGATCAAGGATAAGTATCACATGCAAAGATTAAGTGAATAAATTATAGAATCTTTAATATTTATATTGCATCTCACTCAAGAAAGGATTAAAGGTAATTTACAAAAAGACAAAATAAAAGCAAAACACAGCAACAAAAGGATGATAAAGGCGGAGTAAGAATAGAACATGGAAACAAATAGTAGCTATTAATTTATATATATACAACTAATGAACATCTGTTTTGAAGATGTACCTACTTACTAGAACTAGGGATAAAGTTTAACTTGTATCTTTCTACTAGCCACTACAAAAAATAAAGGAAATATGGTCATGATTCATAATCAATAATTTTATAACCTTATCTCCTCATGTAAAGGTCCTAAGATAAAACATACTTTAAATATGAAAGTCTCTGCTAATATTAACACTGTAAATCAAGAGTAGAAATTTATAACACTGATATTAGGTATGAGGATAATTAACACAATTGCCACCTGGCCCTAGGAGGCCTTAACTGTATATGGTACTTACATTTTAGAAGATGTGATCTGACTGATATTATAAACTATATTATTATAGTTGTATTTAATGTTAGTATAGTTAACATTATATTTATATAGTTAATATATAATATTTTATATAGTTAATATAGCTAGTAATGAAGGAAATACTTTTAGAGTCTGTTTCTAGAGGGAAAAAACTATGTCCTCTAATTATTGGAAAACAAAGTTGATTTTATCTCAGAAGTTATAAAGAGACAGAAACAGTCTAATTTGTCACAATGTCAACTTCTTGATTAACAGTAATTTTATTCATGCATGTTTCTTCTTCCAAGAACTATATCTAGAAAGAAATTAAAACCATTACCTAAATCCATGAGGTCGCATCCCCATACCAGCAACATCTGGAGGATAGGGCCCACGCTGATCTTTTGGGAAAACAGTGTATCTAGGCCCTAGAGAAGGGACAATGGGAGATCTAATGTTCCCAGGATAGGGAGGTGGAGGTCTGGTAAAAGCCTGGTTGATATTCTCTGGTTGCCAATGCTGAAGGGGTCCTGGATGAGGCGTTCCTGGTGAATCCTGACACCCCTTCTCCTGACGACCAGCAATCTTTTTCTGCTGTTGCTGCTGGAGAATGATCTCGCGTAACTTTTGTCGCTGAACAGGAAAAAAAAAAAAAAAATTCAGATTTCTAATAATCATTTTTTAAATGATTAATCATTTTAAAATTTTAAATGATTAATCATTTTCTAAGTCTTTAAAAAGTCCCAATGCTTTTGCTAGCAGCCCTGGAGTGCAATAATTAAAGCACTTGGTTGCTAACCTAAAGGCTGGTAGTCTGAAGCTACCCTTTTGATCTGCTTCTGTAAGGATTACAGCTAAGATAATGCTATGAAGCAGCTCTACTCAGTAACATGGGATGAGTAGGAGTTGGAATCAATGTGCTTGCACTCAACAACACTTTTACTATGTGATGTTTTAAATATCTAAATGTTTCAAAGCTTGATAAAACACCAGTCAGTTCTTTAACTGTTAAATTATCTAAAATAAACTTATGATTTGGGTCTTTTTGCTAGTCAGGTAACAAAACTGAAAACTTTCAATTTAAGAATTTTCCTACAAAATTTATATTAAAATAAAATACATAATAAATCTAAGTCAGCTCGTGCTAATTTTGCCAAATTTAATTTTCTTCTGTGCAGCATGTGAATTCTATAGAAAATGATCAGAAACTTTAAAACCACTGTAGAAATTACTTAGTTTGATGAAATGAGTAGCTTTCTCTGGATAACACATTTAAAGCATTTGAAAACGTACAATGTGTTTACCTGTCTCATTTTCTCTGTATCTGCTTGAGTCATGTTGATGGTATTCTGCGTATCAGCTACTCCTGAAGTTGGTACAGGTCCAGGAATTTGAGGGACACTGGAAAATGGTTGACCTTGGGAATTCAGAGGAGAGTTTGAAGATGTACTAAAGTTCCCCTCTGATCCAGGCTTTGGATGGTCACTGACATCATGAATAACCTGACTTGCTCCAAAAGAGTCTGGTTGAGATCTTGGAGTCACTGGAGACTGATCATAGGGATCACGGGCCGCAGATGGGGAAACATGGGTAAATGTGTCTGAAAGACCAGGTCCAGGTGGTCTGGGTGTTTGGGAACATGTATCAGGTGGCCTTACCAAAGGGCCAGACAAAGCTGGTCCTCGATTTTGTGCTGCCTGCAGGAAAAGATCCTGATTAGGCATGAGGACTGGTCGTATCATTGAAGATCTAGTAAAACCTTCTGAAATCCTTGGCCTTGGTGGTGTTGGTGGTTTAGAGTAAGGAGCAGCAATTCTAGGTCTTGGTGTTCCAGAAGGATGAGCGTATGGATCAGAATGCCTCTGAGTAGTTGCAGATGCAACAAACAAGTCTGTTTGTGTAGATGGCCTTGGGGTTGGCGGCTGTTGACTATATGGATCAACAGTGGAAGGTCGGGGAGTTCCAGGAGGTTGAGAATAAGGATCTGGATTAGACCGAGTTGTTCCTGAGGGTTGTGAATAAGAATCTACAACAGGTCGTGGAGTTCCTGGGGGTTGGGAATATGGGTCCTGAGACATTGGCCTTGATATGGTTCCAGACTGGGAAAAAGTCCTTGAAGGATGGGCAAAAGATTCATTCATTCCTGGATGTGGAGTGAGGGGAGGCTGGCTATACGGATCACTGGATTGACTATGGGAAAAACTATCTATAGGTCTTGGTGTCAAAGCAGGCCGTTCATAAGGGTCAATAGACATTCGTCTTGGTGCCTGTGACACTGACCCATAAGGGTCCTGGGAGGATGGAGGAGGCTGCATTGGAGTCTTAAAGGGTCCAGGACCACTTTCAAGAGGTGCAGATGTCAACAAAGGTCGTGTATATGGGTCAGAGATCCGTTGTCTCTGAAATACATCTGTCCTAGGAGATGGTTTAGTAAAAGGATCACTGGTTCCAGATGTTAGAGGACCTTTTGCAGTTTGCTCCGAAACTACAGGAGATCTAGGTAGCCCCAAAGGCTTGGGAAACTGATCTGTTAACATAGGTCTAGGTGTGTCCGGAGGCTTTGCATAGGGGTCATTATTCGTAATGGTGGAAGAACATGAATCCCTCACTGGTGATGGCCTATTTGCTGCTGTTTCACTTATTTGAATGGCCCTAGATACTGAAGATAATGACGTACAGTTTTCTACTGGTGTAATAGAATTTCTTCTGGGAAAACTATGGCCCCCTGGAGGTGGTCTAGGGGTGCCAACCATTTTGGCGTAAGGATCCACTGGAGATGGTGGTCGGGAGTTAGAAGAGCCAGGTGAAAACATCTGTGGTGAATGTGACTGAGAAGTCTGAGTCTGAGAAAGATTTTCCTGAATGGGAATCCGGGATGAGGGTGGAGGAGGAGGTGGAGCTTGTGGTTTTACAAACACATCATCGGAAGATGAAGAAGTAGGAGTATTAGGCAGTTGCTTTGTAAACAGGTCTTTATGGAATGACTGTGCAGGAGACATATTCCCATTGCCAGGCTGAGGTGTCAAGGGACTCTGGATCCCACTGCTTGGTGTATCTGAACCAGACTGTGTCAGAAGATGTTGAGAACCAAATTGCTGCTGTTGCTGCTGCTGCTGCTGTTCATTCTTTACCTGCTCAAGTTTCTGTGTAGCTTCAATTTTAGCTTGCTGTTTACTTTTCTGACGCATTTGCTGTGAAAATAGTAAGGAAAATATAATGTAGTTAACAAAGAAAATAATCCACCTGATTTAAAAAAAAACAGTACCAGAAAAAAATTAATTTGGTATCAGCAGCTTCTAGATTGCTCTCTTATTAGGTTATAGATTCCTAAACAAGAGAGGCACCATTATGCCTAAGGCATTATATTATTCATACTATTACAATAAACTTACTGAATCAACTTAAAATATCTTAGAGAAAGACAAGTCCATTTTAAAACATATTTTCTTGCTATACTAAGAGCAATAGTCTTAAGTGATACAACTTTTTAAAAGGGAAAATGTAATTTAAAAAAAGTAAATTATCCAAAAAATGTCATACCTGTCTAAATTTCCATTCCTGTTCATGTTCTGATTCTCTTTGCTTTAACGGATCTTTAAAAATATCCGAATCAATGCGAGAGTTGGGATCAATGCTATCTTGCTGTTGCTGTCTTTTCATGGAGTCATTTGACATCTGTACTTTATTAATGCGTAATGCAGCTCTGTTATCTCTGGCTTTTTGCTTGGGGGGAAAAAAGAGAAAAAGAATTATCTTCCAACTATATAACAATACGTTTTAAGAAAGAAAAGTAACACTTAAGGCAAACTTTATTAAATAGAGAAAAAGTTGGGTTAAATAGTTAAGATATAATTCTTAGATCTTACAGCCTTGTATAATAACCCATCTTTTACACGGAGCATGTTACTCATCAGTAGAGGGAATGTTTTCATATCTGAAATCAGCTTAGAAATCCCAGGTATACCCTACTATGAAGAATTAACATCTTCCTCAAATTAGAGAGAGAGAAAACATCAAAGCCATCTTCTAAATCTAAAATCTGCAAACAAAAAATTTAAAAACAAAATCATCCTGAAGCATTAAAAATAGGTTGTCATTATCTTACTAAAAAGGCAAAGTAGAACAAATCAAGGCTTATCAACAACTTAACAACAAGAAAAAAAAAAAAAAACCAAGCTATTATCAGGCAAAAGAGCTATGGTGGTAGAGTGGGTTAAGCAACAAGCTTAACTGTGGTTCAAGCTCACCAACTGCTCTCAGGGAGAAAAATGAGGCTTTCTGCTCACGTAAAGATTTACAGTCTCAGAAACTCTGGAGAGCAATTCTACTTTGTCCTATATGGTTGCTGAATCAGAACTGAATTGATGATCATGGTTTGTATCTAAGCAATCGTTATCATGGTGGACACGTACACAGTAAATCAAGTTAGAAAATAACTGCATATTTTTTAAAGCAACAATGAAAATTTCATATGCTTTGAAATGCAAAATAAAAAGATTTGACTCCAACTGACAATCTTAATTTGGTTGTGAGAGAAAACAATTCACCATCTGAAACCGTGAATTAGAAAATTCCCTAGTAATTCTTAGCAAAATTACGTTAAAAAATTCCTTAAAAGTATCTGCTGCCAAAAGGACAAATATTATAAATATTGCATAAGACCATTATTGTAAAAGCTTAAGAAGAGATACCTATTACTAAAAAAAATAAATAAATAAATAAATAAATAAATCTGCTGCTGTTGTTATTAGTGCCTTCAAGTCCAACTCACGCAACCTGTATAGGATTCCCAAGAAGTGGCTGGTGGGTTTGAACCGCCAACCTTGTAGTTAGCAGTCTAATGCATATGCTACAGCACTGTACCAAGACTCTAAAAAAAGAATCTAGATATGTCCTTTCTTGAAATACAAAGATTTTTTTATTGAATCTAGTTAAAAAAGGACTTACTGTGAAAGCAATTGAGGCTTACTAACAACTCCAAGTTGAGTATTCTTTTGAAAACAAACAATTTTGAAGTGAAATGAATTAAACATGCACCTAAATTAACTAATTTTCGATCCTTAATACTCTTCTTCGGTTAAGTAGTTTAAGATGTCACCCTCTATATTAAGATTTAATGACTTAGTAAATCACCATTCAAAGTAAAGCTCTTTGCAATCACTCAACTCATAATAAAAACTTTAAAAAAAAAAAAAAGTACAGCTGTTAGTTGTCCAAATATTAACATATTATTTTTTGCAATGGAAAATATTATTAGCCTAAGACAATAAAAGTAATGTTCATGTATTGTGTTTAAAGATATAAACACATAGAAGTTTTTAAAATACCACATATGGTGCTCTTTCCTGTGAGCTTGCTTTTCTCCACAATTTCGCTATCTGCTTCACTCGGGTAGTCCAATCTACAACAAAGAACAGCACACACACTTATAGAACCACAGCAATGATATGGAATCATAACAAAAGCAACTGATAAACTGTTGACAGGTTATTCAGGTCATGTTTTCATAAATGTTTATTCCTATATTAAGTTCTTGGAACATTACAAAGTTCTTGGCACAAAGGAAACTGCAACTATTTTCTGAATGAAATACTACTTTATTAACAATCTTGTTAATAAGAGATATTATTATTGTAAAACAGAAATATTTTTAATTCTAAGAGATTAAGCAGTCAAAATGAATCTAACTCATGTATAAGAAATTACCCGAGTCTAGTAAGACATTACGAGAACCAAAGCAAAACATTTTCTAAAATATTTAAAACAGCTGTCTATCTATATGGCCAAAAGGAAGTAATGATAATTAAGAATACGCATCTCACTAGTATTTGTGTACAACAAGCACATGGAAAACACCCAGTATTTCAAGGAAATTCCATGGAATTCAGTGTCATGACAGCATACAAAATTCTAAGGATAAATGTAGAAGAGATTTATTTCCATATTAAAACATGAGAAAAAAAAAAAAGCCAATGAAAATGAAAATCAGCTGAGAGACCAACACAGCCGTAACCTATTATTTTATGAGGTTCTAGATCACACTGAAAAGCTAATACAAAGATTACTTAAAAACAAAAACAAACGTAGCTCTGCTGTGTAAGGACAATCTACAATGATACAAAGTGATTTAATATAACCAAGTATGCTGATCTCTAAATAGCAAAAAATAAGTGACTGGTATTATAAGTAGTTGGAAGAATGGGAATATTGCTTTAACAGACATTCCTGCCCTAAACCTGATTCCTACCATTAGATAAGTTATCCTTTGATTTATTTTTTTCTATAATTTATATATTTTTTACCACAGGGAGACCATACCAGAAAAGCACCTAGGCAGGTGTCGTCCTAAGAAAATCTACTTCTAGGTACCCCAGTAGTAATTCAGCAGCACTTCTGTGCAGAGACAACTGGGAAATTACTATAAACAGGGTTTGAATAACCTTTTAAATCTTGATTTTTCTTGTAACCTGTAACTTGTACCATTAACTTGTAATGTGTAACTCAAGATATTAAAGCAGTAAATATTCTGTAACTGATATTTCATTGATTCAAATGTTTCATTTTCTAGTCATTTAAAAAAAAAGGCAGATTTTTCAGAAATATCCATCTGCATTTTCAAACAAGTACCAGTAATGTACTGGTTTGGTTTTATGCCTTCAAGTTGGTTCAAATGCAGAGACCCTGTATAGAATTTCTGAGGCGGTAAATCTTTCCAGGAGCAAAAAGTCTTATCTTTCTCCTGCAGAGCGGCTGGTATATTTTATTTGAACTGCTGACCTTATGGTTAGCATCTGAACGCTTAACCCAGTGAAGAGAAGGGAAGATGGCATTGAGTTACTTTCAATGGCAAAACTGTTTAGAATTGATTCCAATGTATACTAACTGAATACTTTGATTAAATGACACTTTATATTCTAGAAATTTCTGGATAGAATTATACCTACACAACACTAACCCCTACATGTTTATAAGCATTTCTAGAAGCTGGAAAACTAATTATCACTTCACTAATTGAAACCACTTTGGGAACAATTTTAGGGTCGAGGCCAAGAAAATACAAGCTGTTTCTAGACAGGGAATCTTTGTGCAGTCACACTAGATGAAAATGAGTGATGAGATGGCTTTCTGTTGCAGTAAAAACAACAACAAAGTTATTATACTTGTAAAACTGCAATATAACATCCATGACTTACCAGGGAATTCTTCCTTTAAATTAGGAAAATTAATATTCGTGTACAGAACTGGTGCTACTGTTGCCATTTCACCCAAAGCTTCTTCTTTTTCCCACTTAAGCGTACTTCTCTGGGTATTTGACATTGTATCATTTTCTCCTTCCATAGTGGGAGCTGATGATGGCCAAGAGCTAATAGGATCACATACCATTGAATTAAATGTTGGATTTTTATTGCTAGCAATAACAAAGAATTTAGCTTCATAACCATAAAATAACTTTTAAGATACTATGGTCAAATACAACTTTCATTAAAACCAAATAGCTAAAAAGTAACATACTTGATGTTTTTTAAGAAAAAAGTCTCAATAAATATAATACACACTGATATTGTGTTGAGCAAATAATCCAACAAGAATACGGCATCAAGATTGTACGAATATGCATGAACAATCTGCAAAATGCAGATGACACAATTTAGCTTGCTGAAAGTGATGAAGACTTGAAGCACTTATGGTGAAGAGCAAAGATTACAGCCTTCAATATGGATTTTTGTCGTGTGTGCCTTCGAGTAGGCACTGACTCATAGCAACCCTGTATAGGGATTCCCAAGAGTCACTAGTGAGTCTAAACTGCTGACCTTACGGTTACCAGTCTGTCGCTTAACTTACAGTGCCTCATCAGGGCTCACCCCAACATAAAGACAACAGAAATCCATACAACTAGACCAATAAGAAACATCATGAAAAAACAGAAAAGATGGAAGTTGTGAAGGATTTCATTTTGCTTAGATTAAAAAAATCAATGCCCATTGAAGCAGTAGTCAAGAAACAAAATGACACTGCACTCAGAAACTCTCAATGAATACTGATAAAAAACAAAGATGTTACTTGGAAAAGTAAGGTGTTATTCAACCCACAGTATTTTCAATCATCTCATATGAGAGGGCTTCAAAAAGTTCATGTAATTAACAGATAAGGAAATTTGTCCACAAACTTTTTGAAGCCCCCGTCACGGGTGCGGAAGCTGGACAATGAATAAAGACCTAAGAACTAATGCTACTGAATTACGGTGTTGGAGCATTAAATATATCATGGACTGCCAAAAGAACGAACAAGTCTATATTGGAAGAAGTATAGCCAGAGTTCTTCTTAGAAGTGACAATGGTTAGACATCATCTCATGTTCTTTGGACATGTTAACTGAAAAGAGCAGCCAGTTCCTGGTGAAGGACATCATGCTTGTTAAACAGATGCTCAGTGAAAAATAAGAAGACCTTCTATGAGATAAACTGACATAATGGCTGCAATAATGGACTCAATGTAACAACAACTGTGAGAATGGCATATGACTGGGAAGTGTTTTGTTCTTTTGTACACAGTGTTGCTACCAAGTCCTAAACTACTCAATGGCATCTAACAGCAGCAACAATACTGTGTTCAGTAACTTCAGCAGAAACAACAAAGTTAGTGTGATATAACTTTCCATAGAAGATGAAGGCTTTTAAATACCTGGCATCAGGGTAAGGGGGTTGTGCTATAGTAGAGAAAGTTCCCAATCCACTTCCAGGAGGCAATGAATTATGCGAGAGATGAGGACTGGGTCCCATAAGGCCATTCATGAGAGGTATCCGTGAAAAAGCATCTTAAGAAAACATAAACATAATTTGGGTAAAATGGTTGCATATTATTCAAATTTTTAAAAAGCATCTGAAATAGTTCTAAATAAAAACTTATAGTAACTTCTCAATATAAATTGTTTTTAAGTGCCATCGAGTCGGTTCCAACTCATAGTGACCCTGTATAGAGATTCCAAAGAGTGATTGGTGAGTTTGAACTATGAATCTTGCAGTTTGCAGTCCAGCGCTTAGTTTACAGTGCCACACAAGGATTCCAAAACATAGTTATGATGATTAAATTAACACTTTCTCTAAGAGTTTTAAATTAGCAACATTTCACATATCATTATCAATTAATGTTTACTATAAAATACATTCTGATTTAGGCCTAAGCAGAGCAGTAGGTTTCTCCTTATACGTGCACTTTCTAGTCTTGGGTTTATAATTCTGCTGAGATTAACAGAGTGGGCGGAAGACTGCACTGTGACTGGTATGTTTTAAATATTTTGCAAGGATTGGTCAATTTCCTATATAAATAATGTGCATAAAATCCTTGTTGGAATTAGCAGATTACTACGCAAACTAGGTGACAATGGCCTAAAAGGGCCAATTTCACAAAGGTTGAAGGGGACCTCACTATCATCAGGAAGAAAAGGCTGGAGCAGGGCATGTCATTTGTACCTGAGGTGCCTGTGCTGAGAACCTCCTCGACCCATGAGCTAGAGCTGTAACACAGAAGATGGTGAGAAACAACAGTGCAAGATGGGTGTAGTAACACAAGCAGCAGGAAGCAGGAGACTGGTGTGACCTGGCTGTGGTGGGTTTCCCAGATCACAAATCTAGGCAGCTGCAAATGGGCTTGTTGAATCACAAAGGGAGAGAGCTGAACACCTTCAGACAGAAGGCTTGCTGGCGGAGTAGGCTCCCTCTGGTGCATGGAGCAATAAGAACTGCAGTACTGGCCCAAAGAGGGCATTGGCCAGCCAGTATGAAAGAAGGCCTGCTTGCCTGTGGGCAACTGAGATGAAGCTTACAGCTGTCTTGTTTGGAAGCTATCCTGATTGGTGAATTCTATCCTATCTCTTGAATTCCTTGAGTTGTATCCTGTTTTTTTCCCAAATGGATTATGATCCCGAGTTGTACACTGTTACTTTCCTATAAACCACTTAATTTTGAATATGATTTGTAAATTTTGTGTGCCCAATGCAACAAACCATTGAACCTAGCAGAGAAATAAAGAGCTATGGGGAGAACGGATGGTGTCAAAAATGGTGAAAAGGTTGTCTGACTGCCACTTCACAGCAATCAGCTCTATGTTGATCTTGACTCTCATCCCTCAGTAATTTAATTTAGATCACTTCTGATGCCAGTAGTACTAGATATTACGTTCCAGTTTTCATTACTTGCAGTTTCAGTCCTTGAATACATTTTAACTCTCATTAGTTTATTTGCATGTTTCAAGAACTTTTCTCCCCCCTAAATGCACATTAAGAAAATAAAGCCACTTTGTGTTTCTCTGTAACTCTTCCAAGTTTTAAATCTTAATCCTTATCATTATTTTCCACTCAACTCTTTGGAAACAAGTGAACTATCTGTTGAGTTCACCAGCCTAATTTTCCTTGTGTATCCTAAAAAGCCCTCCCAATTCAACATGAAGATTTGTACAGGCAAATTGCAATGTGAAAAAATACAAGACTTCTGTTAAGTACTGTAGCACTAAAAACAACACTATTTCACAGCTTCACACCACAAAAGTTTTAGAGTTGGCTAATACCTTCGTTACGTGGGAATAATGATGGAGAACTCATAATCTGATCAGTTTATCATGCTGTTTGATACTGGATAAAAATCAAACCCAGAAATGCTTAATACATGTATTACTTTATATAACATAATTTGAATGTCACAACACTAAGGCACATGAGGGCACAATTAGCACTAGTGTATACATTAGGAAGTGAAGGCTGAATGTCATTTTCAAGATTTTGTCTCAAGGACTATGACTTGACTTTCAGGTTTGGCTTAGCCTATTAATGTTAGAGCTCTACCCATTGGATCAAGGTTACATCATGGCAAATGTTAAGAGTCGAAAACTTACTCCAGCCAACTTTTTCCTTATACAAGGGTATTTCAAAAAGTTCATAAAAAATTATCTTTAACCTCCACTTTTTCAACAATTTTTTTTTAAGCTCTTTGGTTTGTCAATTTGCTTGAAATTTGCCTTCTCAGCTTTCTGACTGCTCTTCTGCATTATTGCAAACACAATACAATCTGTCCCCCACTTCATATCACTCCTATTGAAAATTAATAATAATGTTCTCATGGTTCAGTGAAATCCCAAGTTTCAAGTTCTCATCCTATTTAACTTGGTGCTGGACTGAAAAATCACTTTGATCTGCAAGGTTGGAGGTTCAAGCTCACCACCTGCTCCTTGAAAACCCTATATAGGTTCGTTATGGGTTGGAACCGACTTGACTGCACTTAACAACAACAACAATAATTTTTCCAATTATGTTTTTGCGATTCTATACACCTGCAATGTTTTCATCTGTTATGCTAATTTTTTCAGTTTCAACTAGCCTTGAAAGAAGAAAAACAGGGAAAGTGCAATTGCACACCTAGTATGAGCAGATAACCTTAACGTGTTAGATTGTTGTTAGGTGCCATCAACTTGGCTCTGACCCATAGCTATGCTAGACACAACAGAATGGAATGTTGCCTGGTTCTACATCATCCACGAAACTGATATTATGTTTGAGTCCACTGTTGCTGCCACAGTGTCAAATCCATGTCATTGGGGTTTTCATTTTCGTTGACCCTCCACTTAACCAAAAACTGATCTTTCCTGATAAAATGTCCAAAGTACGATAGATAAAGTCTTGCCATCCTTGCTTCTTAGGAGCATTCTGGCTATACTTCTTCCAGCAATCCATGCTACTCCAGCAATCCATGCTACTCCAGCATTCCATGCTACTTTCAATTTTCTTTGCCAACACCATAATTCAGATGAATTGACTGTTCTACACTCTTTCTTATTACTGTCCAACTTCACATGCACCTAAGTCAACTGAACTCAGTCAACTGAAAATATCATGTTTTGGGTCAGGCATACCTGTATCCTCAAACTGACATGTTTACTTTAACACACTTCACAAAGCAGTTGGACAGCAGATTTGCCTAATGCAATATGCCCTTTGATTTCTTGACTGTTGTTTCCATTACTGTGGGCTGTGGATCCAAGTAAAATGAAATCCTGGACAACTTCAATCTATTCTCCATTTATCATGCTATTTACTGGTCCAATTGTGGAAATTTTTGTTTTCTTTACATTGAGATGCAACCTATACTGAAGACTACAGTCTATGATCTTCATCAGTAAGAATATAAGTCCTCAGCTTTCATGAAGTAAGGTTGTGTCATCTGCTTATCACAGGTTGTTATTCAGTCTTGCTCCAATCCTGATGACACATTTTTCTTTATATAATCCAGCTTCATGGATTATACGATCAGCATACAGATTCAATAAATATGGTGAAAGGATACAACCCTGGCACACACTCAGAATCCCCTTGTTCTCTTTCAGTGACTGCTTCTTGGTTTATGTACATATTCCTTATAAGCACAATGAAGTGTTTTGGAACACATTCTTTGTGATGTTATCCATATAATCCACATGTTCAAATGCCTTTACAAAATCAAAAATGCACAAGTAAACACCTTCCCCCAGTGAGATGGACTGGCAAAGTGGCACCATCAGTGGGCTCAAGCATGGCAACAATAGTGAGGTTGGCCCAGGATCGGGCAGTGTTTCGTCTTGCTGTGCACAGGGTTGTTACGAGTTGGTACCAACTCGATGACACCTAACAACAACAACAAAACATCTTCCTGGTGTTCTCTGCCTTTAGCCAAGATCCATCTGATGTCAGCAATGATATCCTAGTCCCATGTCCTCTTCTGAATCTGGCATCAATTTCTGGCAGCTCCCTGTCAATGTACTGCTGCAGTCATTTTTGAATCATCTCCAGCACTGAAACACAGAGACTTTCAAGGCCTCCTGCTTGACAGAAGCCAAAAAGGAAATGTGCCCTCTGGGACATGAGAAGTCCTATGCTTAAAATCCTCCCAGGACTGGTTTAAAAAAAAACAAAAAAAAACTAGCTTTGAGAGCTATTGCATCAGAGCTTATTCAGTTAGCTGAAAATCTGTAGCTGAGAGAGCTGTTACCTGTGAGCTAGGCTAGTTAGCAGCTTAGAGACTGATAGAAACCAGCTGGGGCATCCTGGCAGCAGAGAACCACTGCTAATAGCAGTTAAAAGAGCTAAGTAAGCTGCTACACTCACTGGTTATGAGTTGGGCCAGTCAGCAGTGTAGAGGCTGACAGAGAGGTCCAACCGGCAGAGAAGGAAGTGGTCCGACAGAAAATTAGAGTTGGCATGTCAACTGGAAGAAGAAAAGTTGTACCTACTAATTGCTGGCAGAGAGTAGTTGTTATCAGTTGAGAAAGGTCTGAAAAGTTGTTCCAGCAGAAAGCTTATCAGTTCCATGAACCTTTTTGCTCTAAAAGCAGTCCTTGGTTGGAAGCTATCCAGCACTTTAGAAGGGTGGGATGTGCTCTCCACTTCAGGGACAGTTCCAGACCTTGTTTTGTGCTTACTGACACTAATTGTGAGTTGCTCCTGATTCCAAATTGTTGTCTGTTACTTAACTAGTAAGTCACCTATAAGTATTGTTTGGGTTATATGTGGATGTTTCAACAAATTATCAAACCCAGTGGTGAAGTAGATAGTGCCATGAAGTCAGGAACAGATGTCAGAACAACAAAAACTGGGAAGCTGAAGTGGTAACATTTAACCTCTGCTTCATAGAAACTTTCATTGTGCTAATCCTGACTCTTATCCCTCATTAATTTAGATAATTCATTTTGCTGCACTACATTTTGCATCAGTCATTATGGTATCTTATAAAAAGCCTCTGGGAACAATTAAGGCAAAAAGCAGTTATGATGTGTATGTTTCATCAAACGCAA